GAAGCTGCGTGCTGCCCACGGCACTGCGGATCTTCTCCAGGACTGGGGAGCAGAAGGAGATTCAAGGAGAGGAATGGTGACTTTCCTTCCCCCGCCTCCAGGAAGTCTGCCCTGACTGACTCTTGCCCTTCGATTACCTGACATTTTCTATGTGTGTCTCCTCCTGCCCCTCCCCATCCTATCCTCGGGTTCCTAACAAGCAGCTCCTACCCTACTTCACCCTCACATTTCTTCCTTCATACAGCCTACATTTCTTAAGTGCGTATCCTCCCGGGTCAGAGAACTGAGAACCAGTCCCAGCCTAGCCGGGCAGCCCTATGGCAAACAGGCACTCGCTCCATGACCACCAGTGTGCAGCTCCTTAACTCCTTAAGAACCACTAAGTTTCATGTATATGACTCCTGCCTCACACGTCACTATCCCATCCTTGGGTAAGACTGTCTCTCCCCTCGGATTGAACTTGCAGGGAAGGGCCATGTCTTCCTGCTTAATCTTCAGGGTTGCCTGAGACATGCCCTGACATTGTGCACGGCCTGCCTCTGGCTTATGTCCTGGAGCAGGCCCAGACCCCCACACCGGCGCAGATGGGAAGAATGCCCTTGGCTGCCATGCGGTGGCAGCTGTCGCCAAGAAGGCCCGGCCTGGTGACTTTCCCCAGGCCCAACCCTGGCCTCTGAAGCTGCTCCCTTCTTCCTCCCAAGAGCTCTGGGAACGCCCTGCTGCCAACGGGGACCCTCCAAGGTTTGGTGCTAGAGAATCAAACCCTTAGGACGGCACCCTCACGTCCAACCAGAGAGCTCCCGGCCCTGACCCCTCCACCAGAGGCTCTCACTCACTCTCCTCGGGCAGCTCATAGTCCTCCGCCTCGCGTTCCATCTGCTGGCACCAGTGCTCCAGCTTCTCCACCTCCGCCCTCAGCATCTTGATGAACCACTCGCCGTCCCGTGGGCAGGGGGACGTGCGGCCTGAGTCGGGGAGGCTACGTGAGCCGCGCTCCATCCAGGAGTCCCGGCGGCCTGCCCCGGGGCCCGGGGTCGGGGCCGGGGCAGGGCCTGGCGACCCATCGGTGGCCGGCGGCTCGTACGGCAGTGGGTAGCCCTCGCGGTAGGCCCACTGGCCCTGCGTGTGGACCGTGCGGAAGACTGAGTAGGTGGGGGCCCGGGGTCCGGGCTGGGGTTCAGAGGCGTGCCTCTGGAAGGAGCGTCCGAACTGCAGGGCCTTGTCTTCTGTGGCCACCGAGGCCAGGCCGGCCAGGCCCTCCAGCTCCAGGTCCGCCTGCACGCCAGCCGTCACACTGTTGGAGCGCTTGAACCTCGCCCGCCTGGTGAGAGAGGTGGCTGTGATCTCTGCCCTCCCCACGGCCTTCACCCCCACCCCAGACTAAAAGGGGATGAGAAAGGAAACCTATATGACCTTTAACTATATTAGTCCTTGTAACAGGTGGGTACATAATATACCTACCTGTGGCATCGCCTCTGGACAGGGTGATACTTACAATAGTTCATCTGTACAGAACAGCTGCTGGCATATGCCCATGGAAACAGACACAGCCCCCATGCTAGAGCATCTCCCTGCAGAAGCGGGGTTGGGGGTGGGGTACCAGAGGGGCCAGGGAGGAGCTAGGGTATTTGCCAATGAATAGAGAGGGATTTCAGCACTTTAACAAGTGCTGCGTCTGCTTTCTGCTTATTTACACCAGCTGTACAGGTAGGTCCTCAGCCCTGCAGACATGAATAAATTACAGGCCAGAGAGACCCATGGGTCCCCAGCTGTAAAGACGCAGAGCCAGCATTTGGACCAAGGGGTGCTGCTTGCTCCACAGCCCAAGCACTTCCCCAGGCACCAGCTGCTGGAACATCAGGAAGAACTGCCTGGAGCAGCTGGGGGGAAGGGAGGTGGGAGCAGCCGGGAGGACTTCTCCTCCTCTAGGGACCCCATGGCTCAGCCCAGAGCCTGGCCAGACACAGTCAGCCGGTGCCAATGGAGTTGAATTAAGTTGTTGGCAGGAATGGCATCAGGCCTGGAAATTTCTTCTTTGCGTTAATAAGCAAATCATATGCAAAACAGAAAGTCCGTTGGTCTTGTTCTTTTTCCCCTCTGGGTTCTATGAAGAAATCAGTGGCCCCTGAAGTGCGTGAGGCTGGGGTCAGACCATACTTGAAGTATGGGAGTCAGGAGATGTAGGGGTGGGTGGAGAGGTGAACAGAAGTTTGAGAGCTGGAATTTCAAGGATCACAAAAGAAAGGCTCTTGTGTCCTAAGCAAACTCTACTCATTATCAGGAGAGAGGGGCTGGGGACCAGCTCTAGGGGCCCCTCCAGCTTCCCAGGAGGTTCCCCCAACCCCCACAACTTCAGCCTTCCTCTTGCTGCCCAGGCCTTCCCTCCCTGCCTGCCTTGCCTGCCTGCTTTCCTCCAGTTGGCAGGCTGCCTGCTGGGAGCTGTTGCTATAGAAACCAGGCCCAGAAGGATGCTGCAGGACCCAGGAAAAAGAGATGCGCTCATGTGCAGTCTCCAACAAGCCCTATGTCCCAACCCCCACCCAGAGAGAGAGAAAGAGAAAATATATCACATTGCCTCTCACATGGTCTTCACCTTGGTGCCTGCCCTGTCCTGCCCTGGTCAAGACCTGCATCACTCTCTGCCTAGACTGTTGGATCAGCCTCCTTTCATACATCTCTGCCTCTACTGAGGAGGGCACAGAAGAGCACTGGTTCAGGAGTCTGACCTGAGTACTAATGCTGGTACTGGTGTTGTTGCTATGTGCCTTTGGGAAGCCACTCACCCTCTAGCTAGGCCATTTAATATACATGTGTACGTGTATAAAATTCTACATGATATATAATTATATATGACATATAAATACACACACTCTATATAAAATGATAGGAATGGACCAGTAATTGTCAAGGTTCTTTTTATCTCTAAAATTATACCTTGCATATTTTAAGATCTGGTACTCAACACTCCCCTCATCAATCCACCCAGGACCGGAATAGTCTCCCTAAAGTTGACCCCTGCTCAAACCTTTTCCACGGCTTCTTCATGCCAACCAGGTATAGTTCAAGCTTCCTGTGTTAGCATCTACCCTAATGCTAGCATATCCTCTGGATGCAGTTCTCTCCAACCTCCTCTCCCCTGCATTCTCCTTGTTCCCCACGTAGATTATACTGGCCCTGGCTCTAAGCCTTTGCCCCTGCTATTCCCCTGCCTAAAATGGCTTCCTCCTCCTTGCTCCCTCTCCATTCTCGGCCCAAGTCTCCTCTTCCTCTGTGAACCTCCAGACTGCCTCCAAGGCCATCCTCTGTACTGTACCTCCCTCAGCAATCTTCTTGCATTTGGAGGCAACCCAACTGTTTGGTTACACTGTTCTCTGTTTCTGGTGAGTCTTATCTAACTGAACTGTTAGGATGCACTTTGGCTCCCTTCAAATATTTTTTGTGCCTTTGGCTCCTTCAGAGCTCCAGCAGTTGCAAACCACACGGACAAAGGTGGGGTGTGCCCCAATAAACACAGTATGGAAGACATGCCTTCCCTGCTTGCTTTCCTGTTACCCACACGAAACATGGATCTGTCCTTTGGCACCACTGGGTTTGCTGCCTTTCACCTGTCCTCGCAGGGGTCCTGAAAGGACCACACATTCTTGATGGAATAGGCCACACAGTCTGGAACAAAAGCACAAGTGCCCCAGGCTTCATGGTTCTCAAGTCAGCATCCACCTCAAGGAGCTCTCTCATTGGGTCTACTTCAAGAAAGACCAACAAAGTTGAGGAGTTTATGGGATTCCTGGAAGCACAATCTTCATCAACACTTCCAGCCAGGGATTTTCACAGCACAGGCGGGGGTCAGTCATCCTTGTGCAAGTGGCATTTGCAACCAGAAGTGTGGGACAAGATCCCCCAAGAGAAGAGCAGTGGAACAAAGAAGCAAAGCCCCAGGGAACACGGGCATTTCATGGGTAGATGGAGACAGTGTACCCCCTAAGGTGCCTACGCCAGAAAGAACAAGGAAGAAAACCAGGACAAAGACACTTAAAGGCAGATAGGGGACAGATGGGTCTCAAGAAGGAGTGAGCAACCAACATGGAAAATGCAGCCGGGTAAGAATGAAAGGTGTCCATTGATTTGGCAATATGGAGGCCAATGGTGATCCGGGCAAGTCGGTCTGGTGGAGTATGGGGGCAGACGCAGATAGCAGGTCGTCAGGAGGTGGAGAAAATGAGCCAATACAGCTCTTGAAAAGAGCTTGTTGAGGAGGGAGGAAGAGAGAAGATAGTGTACCTTTTTAAAATATATATATTCTTATTGACTTGAGAGAGGAAGGGAGAAGGAGAGAGAGATAGAAACATCAATGATGACAGACAATCATTGACTGGCTGCCTCTTGCATACCCCTACTGGGGATTGAGCCCACGACCCGGGCATATGCCCTTGACCAGAATCAAACCTGGGACCCTTCAGTCCACAGGCTGATGCTCTATCCACTGAGCCAAACTGGCTAGGGTGACAGTGTACCTTTTTTAAAAATATATATATTTTATTGATTTTTTACAGAGAGGAAGGGAGAGGGATAGAGAGCTAGAAACATCGATGAGAGAGAAACATCGATCAGCTGCCTCTTGCATACCCCCATACTGGGGATGTGCCCGCAACCAAGGTACATGCTCTTGGCCGGGATCGAACCCGAGACCCTTCACTCTGCAGGCCAACGGTCTATCCACTGAGCCAAACCGGTCAGGGCGACAGTGTACCTTTAATGGAGAGATATTTTTCTTATTTGTCAATTATATCTCAAAAATCTGGGGGAAAGAAGGGAGGGGTATTTTGTTTAGGATGGTTCTCACAAGCCATATCTCAAGTGGGAAGAACTTTTGCGGGGAGGGGATAAACAGAATAATGGCTGTCCAAACAGATCCATGCCCTAATTCCCGGAAGCTGTGGATGTTACCTTCCATGGCAAAAGGGACTTTGTAGATTACTTTAAGGATCTTGAGATGAGAAGAGACTGGATTATCCAGGTGTGTCTAATTTAATCACAAAGGTCCTTATACATGAAAGAGGGAAGCAGGAAAGTCGGAGTCAGAGAAAAGGTTGGGACAATGGAATCAAGGTTGGAGTGACGCCATGTGAGGACAGCCCGCCATTGCTGGCTTTGAAGACAAAAGTGGGCTACAAGCCAAGGAACGCAAACTATCTCTATAAACTGGAAAAGGTGACTAAATGGATTCTTCCCTGTGTCTCCAGGGGGATCAGTCCTTGATTTTAGCCCAGTGAAACCCAGTTCAGACTTCCAACCTCTAGAACAGGGGTGGGCAAACTTTTTGACTCGAGGGCCACAGTGGGTTCTTAAACTGGACCGGAGGGCCGGAACAAAAGCATGGATGGAGTGTTTGTGTGAACTAATATAAATTCAAAGTAAACATCATTACATAAAGGGTATGGTCTTTTTTTTTTTTTTTTTTGTTTTAGTCATTTCAAACGGGCCAGATCCGGCCCGAGGGCCGTAGTTTGCCCACGGCTGCTCAAGAAGCACACTGACCACCAGAAGGCAGACGCTCAATGCAGGAGCTGCCCCCTGGTGGTCAGTGTGCTCCCACAGCCAACCTCCAGGGGCCCCTCCCTGCCAACTGGCCAACCTTCCGCAGTCCCTTACCTCTGCTGGCCACCCCCCGACTCCCCGTAGGCCCCGATCAGGGGGCCAGCCAGCCAACCTCCGGGTTCCTCCCCCCAGCCAGGCAGCCTCCCAATAGGCCTCGATCACCAGCTAAGTCGAGGGACCCACCTGTGCACGAATTTGTGCACCAGGCCTCTAGTAAAATAATAAATATGTACTATTGGACGCCACTAAATTTGTGGTCATTTATTAGAGCAGCAATAGGAAATTAATACAACTTGTAAAGAGAAATCAATTGAAGGTAGAGAAGAAAGTAGTCCAAGGTACCAGAAAATAGGGGAATCCTATATAATAAAAGCCTAATATGTTAAGTGTCCGACCACTTGTTCAACCAGTTGCTATAATGCACACTGACCACCAGAAGGCAGACGCTCCGACAAGTAGGTTAGCTTGCTGCTGGGGTCTGGCCCACCAGGACTGGGCAAGATGAACCAGACACGCCCTGGAGCCCTCTTGCAGTCCCCAATGGGCCCCGACTGGGACTGGGCGAGATGGGCCGGACAGGCCCTGGAGCCCTCCTGCAGTCCCTCCCCACCCAGATTGTGCACCAGTGGGGTCCCTAGGCCTGGCCTGCGCCCTCTCAATCTAGGACCCCTCAGGAAATGTCAGAGGGCCGGTTTGGCCCAATCCCTGCAGGCCAGGCCAAGGGAC